TACATGCTGTCCCTCTACAGAAGAGGGAGAAAAGAATTCCTTCAAATTTTCTTTGCCTTCAGACCAGACTGCCCTAAGATAAAGCCTATTTCCATTCCAAATATTTGTGCATGTAAAAGTTAATACATGTTGAAGGTAAGGGAAGAGCCGTGTGACATTCACTAATTCAGCTTCAAGTTCCATGGATAACTTCTAGACAAAAAAGCATCCGTAAACTTGAAAATTCTGGAATAAGAGGGGAGCATTGATGGAATTCTGAACCTACCTTCTCAAAGATCAGTCCGGTTGGTGTGTTCATATCATGGCGAGAAAACGTTAACATGACACTCAAGGAGTGAGCAACATCTGTTGAACTTTGCATGAAAGGTCGGTGATCTAAACGACAGAAAACGGAAGCATTCTTAAAATTCAGTGCAAAGAACAATCGGCACACACCTAAGGTAGCTGTGCAGTAAACAACGTAGCAGCTGGGATCCTTCTCTACTAAAGCCGTTCTCAAACGAGATGCTTGCAACACCGTCACTTCCAGACCACCTTCAATTTTTATGTGGGCGAAAGCACCTGCAAATACAGGTGGTAAAGATCACCGACACACAAAAATAACAAGTTTTGAAACAATACTCTACTTGCTGAGCAAAGCAACTTACTGAGTGGAGGAGAAGGCTGAAGGAAAGGATTCGGAAATAAGGGGCGATAGCGAATCTTGTAGTTTGGCCAAACATGCTTCCGCTGCAAAGCTCGTCGAATCGATTCTTTTATCAAAGGGATTAATCGTTTGAGTTGATGCCCCTGGATTTGCGAACTGACCTAAAGCAAAGAACATGGTACCAATATCTCAGCAAGGATACGACTCTATTTTGGTAAGAAAGGTGATTATATTCACAGTCCTGCACTCTGCAGAGTTCATCATTTGTCCAGAATTTGTGATATTTCGATAACCAAAAAGTTGCGAAAGCAAAAAGTAACGGTTCACTGGCCACTGTCGACTAACCGACTCATTACGTTAGGCGTATGAGTGCCAATAAGCTATTTTAATATACCATTTAAAGCTCAACTGCGAAAGGTGCCGATAGCGTAAGTGGTGGCACAGTGCTGGGGCTACAGTTTCGTTCATCCCAGTAGTCTTATGAAACATTCGCAACGTAAATTTCAGCGTTAAAACAGCAGTTAACAAACAAGAATTGAAAACGAAAGAATAACATTTTGAATGCGAGGTTTCAAACAGAAAGAAGCGAAGGGAATAAACACTTGGAACTCACTTCTGTACCGAACTCAGGCGTGGAGACAAATGAAGAAGTCCAGTGGCTGTATGGCTTTCTCGAAAGGATTCAAACGAAACAAAGTCAGCGAGCTATTGTTAGATGTTAGTAACTTATGCCCGTGGGAAAATTTGTAAGCACGCGTGAAATTATATGTGTACCTTATAGGACATAATTTGGCTTTTCTTTCAAAGAAATACCTGTGGTAGACATGGATAGATGGTTCAGAGGCCAGGTGTAATCACATATCAACGAGAAGAGTTATCTTTGTTGCGAAAAAAACTCCTGTTTTCACTTCAACAAAAACTTTACCATATGAACTAGCACTCCGATTGACTTCCTCATGCTTCTTAAGGCTCACAGCAGAGTTGCAAACGTTCTCCTTCAACTTTCCTATACTAACCGAAGGAAGACTACCTTTTAATCGAATGAAACTTATGATGGGCCTCGATGACGAAAACGCATACGTTGCGTAACCAATTTCTGATGATCATAAGAGTCTAGCAAAACGACGGGAAAGAAGATAAATTATGTAAAAAAAATACCTCGAAAATATTTTTGTCTGCGGCCATCTCCACATTTTCGACTCGTATCGCATTTATTCGCGGAAATTTTGTGCCCAGTGACAGATCACGGGATGCGGATTTCCTGAACTCGATTTGGAGTGCATGTGATCAAAGGCAGTGCAATAACAGAAACAACAATTGTTAGTATTTTTAACTTCCACCACGAGGTTGTTGGGTGGAAGAAGTCATTACGGCTAGCGTTTCAACTGGCCGGTCACTTTCAAAGGCCTAACCATAAGCATAGCTCAAAGCTCAAGACACACTATACTATCAAACGGCCACTCCCCTCTAGCGTTTTTATCGTCCTTTGTTACCTCTGCAACAATTCGCTGCGGAAATTGGGTGAGCTTATCTTTTGAGTTACGAATGTTTTCCATGTTTTCCACAGGTTTCTGAAAGGACGTCAGAAATGCTAGAGAAGAGTGGGCGTTTGAAGGGGCTGTGGGCAATTCCTAAGCTTCAAGCCATTTTGGCCTTTGAAAATGATGAGACTGTTGAAACGTTGGCCATAGTCTTAAAGCACATTTTGTGAGATACCTCCGCGATAATTTGAATTAACCCCTAAAAGATAGCCTTGCACTGCACCGCTCTTCGCTCACATCACACTCACGACCGACTGAAGAAGCTCAAAAATGTGTGCTCAAGCGAAAAAAAGTCAAATGATACTGATCGAACACTACTTGAGTGGTGCCAGCAAGCACTTTCTTTGCTTCTATGTGCGCGTTTAGGGTTTTGAAAACGCATACATTATTTGAATCGTGAGATTATTGTCGAAGGAGGATGGCGACGAGATAAAGGAATCCTGCTACTCAGCACTGTTCTTGCATGAAGTATTTCATTCCAAAAAAAAACAACAAGAAAGTTGGTTCGTGATCTTTTTAATTTCCTCCAGTTGTCACAATTTCCATTACATTTTCAGAAGTAAAGGACGGAGATGGGAGAGTGGCAAGTGGCACTGCAATACCCCAAGTCATTTCCTCCAATCTCGGATAAACGAACCCACCCAAGCCGGACCTCCTATGCCATCTAGATATATGTGGTTATCAGCATAGATGGCAGAAAAAAAAGTTGCCCAGAAAGACAAAACCACTGCCTTTTAGATCTGCTGGGCCCAGCAAACCATATATAGGCCGAAGGGTATTCAATTATCACAGTGATTCTGAACCAGTTGGATGCGCCACAAATCGCATCAAAACTAAAGCGTACTCAGAAGCCATTTTGTTCGGCTTTTTGACAGCTTTTTCGATGGAAGAATAATGAATACATAAAAACAGGATTGAGTTGCGTGGTTGGAGTCAAACGACAGGCAGAGGTATACCGCCAGGAAAGTTCAGAAAAAAAAACTTCAGAAAAGTCGCAAGGAATAAGAAAAATCGAAAGCACAAGAAAGTATTGAAAACGAAGTTTGAACAGTCCTTTATCTATGATGAACAACTAACCTGTATCAGACGGCCAGCTGCAGATCGAGTGCTAATGTCGTTGAGTTCTATTTGCAAACGTTTATGAAACCATCTGAATAAAATACTTCAATTTTTATGTGCGCATTCCCTCAACTCATTGCACAATCAGCGCTTTCCTTCTCCAAATTATTTTCGAAGATTCATGAGATGTTATAATGATTCAGCTGCTTCTTTCGGAAACATAGAGTCACCAAAGAAATGTCTAGACTCGTTATTTAGCCGACAGCTGCCGTAGTCATGCCAAAACAAGAATTTTCATATGACGAAATAGAACTAGAGCAAGCACGTCATATTAGAAACAAAAACATGCGTCTAATGATTTCTGTCGGTTTTTCAATAAAAGAAACTCTGATAAAATGCAAGGATTTCATCAAAACTTAGTTAAATTTAAAGCAGCAGAAAAATGTCCCACGCAACTGCTTTGGGTAGTTGAATGATTTACAATGGAGTGCGATTCGCATACCTCCTAAGTAGTCGGGTATCCTTATGCTCTTGAAATAACATATGCAGAAAAACTGAAATGGAATGACACGATTCCCATCGTGATATCCCTTGACCATCATCGCCAGTCTTCAGGAAATCGCGAAGTTCCTAGAATGAAGCTGAAGCTTTTTTTGTAACTCGGAATCATACTGTCAATGACAAAACAGGAACTTAAAGAACAACGCTTCTCTTATTACCCAGTTTACTGAAGGATTTCTATTCTTATACCTTTTTGATTTTATTATTTTCATAGAGATAATTTACTTAACGTGGCTCCAATGAATTCTGTATTACTTGTAATTGAGCTCTCTAAGGCTAGTTTCAGAGTCCGCGATCCGTCGCAGGTTTCGCTGATTTTCGCGATTTGCGCGATTCACGCGACGGGTCACGGAAATCACAAGTGCCCGATCAATACTGCAAGGTGTTTCTTCTCCTTCTTCTGCCGCCACTTCTGCTTGATAGTGATGGCTGAATGACGGTTCACTTTGTATCATAATCAATGTCTAATGTTGGAATGCGGCAGCACTTGCATTTTCTTACGGTCGTGGGAATTTCGCACAATCGTGCAAATCGCGAAAATCGCGAAAGCGGGAACCTGGACGGATAGTCGGACTTGACACCAGCCTAATCATCAGGCAGGCTGGTACTTCTTTTTAGCTTAGCTATCCCAAATTAACTGAGCGCCCTCCCATTATTCTCTTTTGCATTCTTTTAACTCAAAACGGTTGCTCTTCCTTGCCTCCTCTATACAATAACTAAAGCAGCAGAGGTAGCGCAGTCAATAAAGCGCGTGCAATTGGTAGGTAGAATACGCTTCTCCTCACACAGATTACCGACGCACAACCAGATAAGCCTTAGTGAACTTGAATTTCTGCTGCCATTCACTTCTTCGATTTCAAATGCATTTACAGGCGGAGGGGGTCCGGTAGATCCTGTGCCTATCACCAGAACTTTACCGGCGCCTCCTACACTTCAACAAAAGACAAGCATCTGCGAATATTTCTTGACAAACCATGGTGTTCTGTAGCCAAAATAAAAGCTATGATGAAACGCCTTAACATGCCCAGAGCTACCCAAACACTCTACCAACACCTGAAATGGATCAATTTCAATTAGAAAATTGCCAGCGTAGCTCAATACTTTTGACGCTGTTTTATTATAACATTCAGCATATAAGTAAGGACGGAAGACTGATTTTATTGAATTTCCACCCATTCTTGGTGACGCCAGGTTATTATTTCAACACTTCCTCTCTTTCACACAATTAAGGATTCAGAAAAGGTTGGACGCGCCGACGTCGCAATAATTTTTTTTGCTAGTTGACCTTAGCATAAACACTCCTGTCAATAAAAACTAAAACCCGTCGCCCGCGCTACTCACTCGAAGGTTATTAAACTCTATGGGGCTAGATCTTATTTCATATCCTCAAAATTACACATCTACCAGCTTTGCCATTGCCCGAGGGGATAAACGTTCATTCAATACCACCGTTGTATAGTTTTCTCAAAAGCACATCACCCATTGAAGAATAATCCATTTACCTTCTCCTCTGTAACCTGTGCGGTGTTTTATAACCTACTATTGATCTTCAGGGGCGGAAAGTGGTGTAGTGGCAAGTGGCACGCTTCACCACGCGAGCGGTCCGGGGATCAAATCCTGGGTCGTGAGTCGCCCGGGCCAACCAAGCCTTCCATCCCTCCGGGGTCGGTTAATTGGTACCAGACTTGTCTGGGAGGATAAAAACACTGACTTGTACATCGGCTGGCCCCCGCAAGTCATTGTATAGGCCACATCGCATTCAAACGCCACTACGAATGTACAAATGGAAGTAGAATGCGTGCCGCATCCCAAAAAGGGATTGATCAACGGCAAATGCTTTATCCTTTTAATGTATACTTCTCAGATTTGCTATTCGAAGGACGCTTTTGTAACGTGCAATCTTTATAAGAGCGCTTGACTTATCGTCATCAATTAATTGCGCAACTGGTAATCCTTTTTCGGACAAGTTGGAAATGGAATTTTAACAGTAAAATAAAAGTGAAAATTTAAAAACTCAATCCGTCAAGGAAAAGAAATTGTCTTATAACGAAGTTCTAGACAAAACTTTACTTTGATCTCGAGCTGCGTCGATATTGATACTGATATTGTGGTTGGGGTAGTTCGGTCCCATGGATCGACGATCAAAACAAAGATGATGAAAAGGACGAGAGCTGCGCCGAATAACGCCCCCAGAAGGAAAGCTAACATTCGATCGCGAAATACGCGTCCAGTGACCAATTCTTCTGCCTCTGGGTTTGCGAGCTGACATAGGGAGGCCTCACTGGCCTCACCTGCAAAACCAATATGGGTAATTTTCACTTTCTCAAGTACATAACCACATCAACAGTAGCATGCGTACGCGTAACAGGTGGGGCTCTGACAACTGTGAGAGAAGATCGAGGTACAACAACGAGAAAAAAGGAAAGTTCTCATGCAGTCAAATGCATAAGAATTCGAAAAAATGCTTGGGAATACAGAGTCGCTCATCATTCCTCAACTTCAGCATGAAACCGAGAAATCTATCAGACAATCAGCTGAATTCAGTGAGATTATAGATAGCAGATGATTGATAGGGCCGTCGTGATTGAGTTGCAGTCATCAACCACACAAAAATACATTTTCCAAAGCTTCCGCCTGCTCTGGCTATTATTTCTTTCCTTCCTCTTTCTAGTACTCTTTGAGGCTTTTAAGTGAAATACATAAATAGGAGACATTGCCACCGTAAATTGGGAAATTCCAGGGAATTCCACCTAGGAAAAGACCTTAACAAAAGTTCATCTTATGTGCCCAAAATTTTCAAAAGTTCTTCAGCAAGGAAGTGCTAATCATGCGGTAAAAAAAATCAGTAATTGCCAGACGAAGAGTTTAGTATGAGATAGAAAAAATGAAGAAATTGCGAAAAATACGAACACCAAAATGGGAATATCTATGTGTGCGAGCAGTCACGCTAACACATACATCTCCAACTGAGCGATTCATCACCATTAACAACGGCGATCACGCATGTTTGTCGGGACTCAACTAACACGACCCCTGCCTGCATTATACGCGGTCAGGCTGTACACTGCTGGAGACATGGGATATTCATATATCACTGATATCGATTAACTGGATGGCCGTGGCGAACAGCAAGAAGGACTGCTCTACACATCGGAGATCGGGAACTGTTCAGCCCAATCAGGTCCTCCATCCCACCCCGTGGTGTCGGTTTATTTACACTAGATTTGTCTGAAAGGATAAATATACAGAGATAGGATCAATATCAGAAAGGTATCGACATAAACATGAGCCGGAACTTTCGGATACTGTAAGAGTGAATTGCGCATTCAAATACCCTAACAGTACTGCGTAGAAATCAATTAGGTAGCATACCTCGAGAGAATTATTACACCAACTCACGATCTGTTCACAAAGAAAGTAAAAAAAAAAAACAGAAAAATCGAGAAGAAAATGAGCGAAAGAATTGAAAAGGACAGCAATGCAAATAAGATGCAATAACAACGAGAACTCTCGTACGCTTGTACGACCTTCGCGGAGAGGCACCACTTCAATCAACTGACTGGCATTTGGGCTGAGTGAGAATGCAAATGTGCGACGGCTATCGGACCTTATCAAACGGTATGTTTGCGAAATTCTGCAAGCGAATCGGTCGGGACTAACCGATAGCTTCACGGCTTTGGCCGATATTTTGGAATTCTAGGTCCAAGAACACCATCTGGAACAAACAGGCAAAAACCAGCGAGAACTCAGTTGCAGTCAATTATCCATTAAAAATTGATGCTGCTCATATCGGTGAAGACTAATCACTTATAGGTTATTCGAAAACGAAAGTTTTGTAGGAAATGTGCGGAAAAAACAGATGGTGTCAGAGGGGTGGGGTGTGGTTCATTAGGACAGAAAGCGACTTTTTCGCGTTTCGCAGCGCGAAACATTGTTCGTTGCGGGAATCTCGGGTCCACTGATGATTCGCTGCGGGAACCTCGGGATCAGCGGTGGACCTGAGGTTCCCGCAGCGGAAAATGTTTCGCGCTGCGAAACGCGAAAAAGTCGCTTTCTGTCCTAATGAACCATACCCGTGTCAGACCACGATTGTCCAGCGATTCGAGCGGATCGCGTGAATCGCAAAAATCACATGGGCCCCATTTGAAAATTTGAAATCCGGATATGGAACATGTAGGGTGCTAACTTAGTTGGGGGGGGGGGCACGCGGCGGCGCGGCAGTCTGCTCACCTGGGCTCTCTCGAGCGAGACAGTGTAAACTCGAACATTCCAGCTTTTCACGCATGTCAAGTGACTGCCCTCACCCCCCACCCCCTAGACTGCCTACACTCCCCCTGGCCCACGGATTTCCGAACATGCCAGGCGAGCAGACTGCCGCGCCGCCGCGTGGCCCCCCCCCAACTAAGTTAGCACCAAAAAATTTTATGAGTTCGTTTTATGATCTATGTATTGACGCAAAGATAATGTTTCA